GGAGGTGTGTCATGATAATGAAGGTAGAACTGATGATAAGCAAAAAGGCAAAGCAGTTGTGCAACCAAAAGTAGCTGATAAGAAAAAAGGCAAAGCAGCTGTGAAACCAAAAGTAGCTGATAAGCAAAAAGGCAAAGCAGTTGTGCAACCAAAAGTAGCTGATAAGCAAAAAGACAAATCAGATGTGCAAGAAGAAGCTGATAAGCAAAAAGGCAAATCAGATGTGCAACCAAAAGTAGCTGATGTTACTGTTATGGAAGAAGATTTGGACCAGCTTATTGATAATTTTCATGAGGAAAGCACAGATGAGGAGTATATTCCAGAAGAAGAAAGTTCTGAATCAGATGGATTGAGTGGAGATGAATTAGGAACTGATGATGAAGAATACTTTGAAGCAAGGAGAAGAAGAGCTGCCTCCAAAGTTGCAGATAAAGAAACTGAAAACTTTGCATTCTCTTCTGAAACTGGCATCCAGTCTATGAGGGAAGATCAGTCTGATTATGCAGACTCAGAAGAAGAGGTTTATTCTGATTCTTCAAGCTCAGGAGGGTTTAGTGGAGATGATGGTGTCAGTCATAAGAAGAACAAGAAAAAAATGATAATGTATGATGCCAAGGTTGACCATAAGCACTTCAAGTTTGAACTTGGTATGCGGTTTGAGTTAGTCACTCAAATTAGGAATGCTATTCAAGAGTATTCCATATATAATGGTCACAATATTCAAATATGGAGACAAACCCATAGTCAGATTGAGGCCAAGTGTATAGAATCATGTCCTTGGAAGTTGTATGCTAGCATTGTAAAGGCAGAAGGGAGATTAGCCATCAAAACATTGATTTCAGATCACAAGTGCTCTAGGGACATGAGAACCAAACAAGCATCTTCAAAATGGATTGCTAAGGAATACCTTCAGACATTCAGGAGAAAACCAAAAATGAAAATTGGAGACCTTGAAGAGATGATACTTCAAAAGTATGCTGTGCAACCATCTAAATGGAAGCTTTACAGAGGAAAGTACAAAGCACT